TTACAAAAGCAACAATAACAGGGTTCTCACCACCTCGGCAGCCTGGGCGACCTGCTCAGTGGCCGGAATCGCCACCTTGGCAGCTTGAATCACCTCCTCAAAAGCCACCTGAGGGGCCTCCTTGGGCGGGCGACTCTTACGATCTCAAGAGACTTCTGCACCCTTGCAAGATCGCCTCGCACAGACCGAAACTCCACCTCCTGCCGCCTCGCCTCACCAACAGCAACACTGAGAGCCTTGTTCTCCTCCCTCAGGATCTTATTTGCATCCTTCCAGGGTTGAAGTCGGCCCCTCAGCTTAGCCAGCTCCTCTAGCTGCTTGGCCAGGCCCTCCTGCTGCTTGACCCACCTCAGCTTCCAGTGGCCTAGGATGCCCATAGCCCTCTACAACAGGACCTGGGCAGCATCAAAACTATCCTCGGGGCCGACCTCCTCTATCAGCCCCTGGTCCTCGGAGCTCAACGAACCCTGAGGGAAGAACTTCTCAGCGGTCACCCCCGCGCTCCACAGGGAGTCCAGGTCGGCCGAAGCGCTCACATGGTCGAGCCGCACCTTTGAGAGGGCCCCCCCGAAGCGATGGGCCAAGTACCGGCTCCGGGAAACCCCCTGTGACGAGCCAGACGGCGGTGCCGAAGCTGCAGCGGGGGACGAGGGAACCTCCGACCTCGCCTGCAGAAACCAGCCCCATGTCAAAAAAAGGGATAAGATGACAAATAGGAAACCACGAAAGTTAGGGAATACGACTTACCTCAGCAGCAGGAGCAACCTGCTCGGTGGCCAGAACCGCCACCTCGGCAGCCTGGGCGACCCGCCCAGCAGCCTGCGTCGCCGCCTCGACGGTATCTCCCTCCTACGACAGACGGCCCCAGGTCAGAACACAAAAAAACACAATAAGTAACGTTACAAAAGCAACAATAACAGGGTTCTCACCACCTCGGCAGCCTGGGCGACCTGCTCAGTGGCCGGAATCGCCACCTTGGCAGCTTGAATCACCTCCTCAAAAGCCACCTGAGGGGCCTCCTTGGGCGGTGGACTCTTAGTAAGGTCCACCGCACTCGCATCAGCGGCCGTGGAGGTCACCTCCTCGGCATCCTCAGGGGCAGAGGTCCCCCCGACCTCCTTCGCTCCCCTTTTCCTCTTTCGGCTGACCTTTAGAGGGGGAGCATCCTCCTCTTGAGGCTCGGGGACCTCGAGATCTGTGACATTGTAGCGATGTTTAAGCTCACGCCACAGATTCTTCCCCATGATACCTACAAACAAGAAGCAAAACACATCAGCAAAAGAAAGCTACACAAACCCCAAGCCACCGAAAAGCAAAATACTCACTCTCCAAACCCCTCTCCCTGTATGCCGAGTTCGCAAGCGACAGAACGAGCTTGCAATCCAGCGGGCGAGGAAGTGCAGCGAGGTTGTCGATAGCGGCCACCTCCGAGGCCGTTAGTTTCACCTGGCCTACCCCATGAAACCTAGACGGTTTGGGGCACCAGTAGAAAGGGAATTTCGGCACCCCGCCGAAATAAAATGCCCCATCCTCCAAAGGGTCAACATTCACAAGAGCAACCCGGAAAAACTCTTGCTTGAAATTTTTGCCACCTCCGAGGCCGTTAGTTTCACCTGGCCTACCCCATGAAACCTAGACGGTTTGGGGCACCAGTAGAAAGGGAATTTCGGCACCCCGCCGAAATAAAATGCCCCATCCTCCAAAGGGTCAACATTCACAAGAGCAACCCGGAAAAACTCTTGCTTGAAATTTTTATATGACTGGGAGTAGAGGGTAAACAAACCCCCATCCCTACTCCCATTCAAGGACAAAATGCTATATGGCGGAACGCCTAACTTCAACTGATAAAAATGAAGAAAGACAGGAATGGATACCTCTATCCCTAAAACTGTACAAAAGACTTGAAAAGTCCTCAAGAAATCCCAACTATTGGGGTTCAACTGGCAAGGAGCCCGTTGACATGGTTCAAAAATCACACTCAAACTGAGTGAGAGGAAGAAAAATGCCTAAATCCCTAAAGAAACAATAGTACATATAGAAA